CGCTACTTCGCGGATTTTCGTTTATCGCGGGTGGTTTTGGTCCCGATTAACCGCGATAAACGAGGGGTTACTGTACCACTCCTGTTGCTCTGTCTTGTAGATGTCATTAATGGTGAGAAGAATTCTGAGTATTCATGTATTTTGTTTTCATCACTAAAATCTAGCATTTGAATAGGGGTATGAAGACTTTTTATATTCACTGTGTCTTGACACAATTGAGGTTGGGAAAGACTGCACAAAACCAATGTTCTTTCCCCATGGAATGCTGATTTTATTGAATTATCCTTCACATTATTTTTCATGTCTTTCTTCTGAAATGAGCCATGAAAGTGGAGGACAGCGGAAGTGACAGTGTGATTATGTGACAACAGGCAGCCAAAGTGATGATAAACAGGAGGAGGCCACTCAAGACATCAGCCAACAGGATGTGCAGGAAGAACCACTCATCACAGAAATTGGAGTCAGAACGGTGGCAGGCCAACCACACACGCGGGAGAGTGTCGGCATCTTCAAAACCAATCTCGTGAACCTTGAATTAAGCTGCCTTTTAACAAACCTCTGTGTACTTAGGGATCATCATCCTCCCGTTTCAAACCAGACCTCTCCACCACCGCCAGTGTCGCTGGCAGACTACCCGACGTTAGAGCACACTCGCAAACCGCCTGCCTGGTTAATATGGCCTGATGCGCCGACTCCATAGTGCAAAGGAATCCCGCGGGATTTTTCCAAAGGGGAGGAACTCAGCAAGAGCTATTTTGTAATGGAGGCAAGGGCATCTTAAGACATCAATTACCCGGATGCTTCCTTTAATGTGGTTTAACATTTAAGAGCTGCGTTTGTAAAAAGTGAAGATCAGGGAGGAGGGTGGGAATCCCAAATGTGATGGAACAGTCCAAATGGGTTCGTGTTAACTTTGGAAAGAATGCAAAATGACCGCCAGCCATCCATTTTCTAAAGTGCTTGTCCTCATTGGGGTCACAAGCTGGACTGGAGCCTATCGCGGAGAGGCACATCTTGGGCTGGTCACCAGTCAACCACAGGGCATATACTGTATCGACAAACAGCCAGTCACTCACAAGCATGTTTTAAGATGTGGCAGGACGACTTGGAGAAAACCGGGCAAGCACGGGGCTAACATGCAATCACCACAAAGGAAGGCACAAGCGGAGATGGGAAACGCGAAACCTCAGAACTGTGAGGCAGATGCACGAACCACTAACTCACCATGCCACCTACAAAATGACCTGACCACACATGAAGATTCTATGATAAAATGACTTAATTGATTTGTTTTTATTGCTTTGTACTTTATATTGCTGTACAGACTAATGGCACCATATTGAGGTGTTTCGAATATTTTTTTCATATTACTCAGCTTGTGGAGATTGGAACCCACCCCGACCATATTCTCTTAGTAAAAAACTGGCAAATTGAAACAGAGCGTAGACCGACTTAAGACTTCAAGTGACAAGGTTTACATTGTAATGTTGGCAGGTGCAACGACAGGGAAGTGCACGTCAATGAAGCAATACGGTCCAGTGTTTACAGTACAAGTCCACGCAATATGAAAGAGGTCAATTTAGCATCATAGAACATGGGTGTGGATGACTGATTTGCCAATTAAAGAGATTGCTGTAGCGGTTATTTCCTGCCATGCATGTCATTGATTATGAACTGAATTACAGGCAACCATAAAACTCCTAAATTAATCCTCAGAAAATGGATGATGAATGTTTCGGTGCAGCGAAAGAACATTCACATTTTTTATAAAAAAAATATTTTTATTCAAGCCTGGAAATATGACAATGGAAACTATGAACTAAGAACCGCACCATCAAGTGCTACAAAACTACCACAGATATCCTCATGGAAGGACAAAGGGAGGGAAAAAAAGAAAACATCAAAAATGCGAATGCTCATCTTTGAGGAAAGATCTTGGGAGACTGAAGAGTCGGGCACGTCGTGCTGAGTCTTAAAGCCAAATTTACAACTTTGCGAATTAGCTTTGTTTTCAGCATGGTAGTGAGAAGTCAACATGAAGAGTGTAAATGCCCGGTCCTTGAGCAAATTATTGAAATGGTTTGTGTGTGTGTGTGTGTGTGTGTGAGAGAGAGCGAGAGAGAAAGAGAGAGAGATTAATCAGACTCTTCCTCTGAGCTCGCAGGTGTGGATGCAGCCTCCTCTTCCTCCTCCTCTTCTTCTGATTCCTGGTTCAAAAACAAAGGCAACAAATGACATTTGAGCAACAATGAAAGCAAAGCAGCTAGTCAGCACCAGAATGGTTTATAATCATAAACATTTTTCTTTTAAGTGTGTGCGCCAGCGCGACAATAATTGTTTATACACGTACGGCGGGGATCCTGCATCATACTGCCCCCGTGGGTAAGGTGGGCACAGCAGAAGAGCGGGAACGCATTAAGCGCTATTTGATTCATTTCAATGGATAAAGATCGGAGATATGATCGTGGTCACTGAATGAATTAAACTCAGACTCAAAGTCAAGGCAGCGCTGTACTCTGAGTGGCGAAGCAGTTAAATTTATGATCCGAGGCCAAGTTGAGGTTTGCTTTACCGTATTCTGTTTTGGCTTCATGGACAGTAACATTACTCTGAAGCGATTTAGAACCGGAGACGATGAAGATGATGTGCAACAATTCCGCGAAGTGAAAGAAAGCCACAGATGAATTGGATGAGATAATGCGTGTTGTCATCGACGCTCCTATCCACCTCCTTCTTCTTCTTCTTCTTTTTGGACTTGCTTTTGTGGTCCGAGTCGGACGAGCTCTCGCTGGTCTCGATGAACTCTCTGCTCTTGAAGCTCTCGTTGCCGCCACCGCGCTCCCTCTCCTTGTCTACTCCGGAGGACTTTCGCTTCTTGTCGTCCTTTTTGCCTGCAGACTTCTTGGCCTCCCTGAAAGGAGAGAGGGGTCATATGAGGAAACGTTGAAGAAAGTAGCCCGACTGCCATGCTAGGTTATAAGCCTTACCTCTTGGAAATGGAAGAATCTCCTCCGCCGCTTTCCCTGTACTCCTTCTTTGCAATGTCATATTGCCGTTTGGCTTCTCCCGCCTTCGTGTCCCACTCCTGAAGAACAGATAACATTCTTACAAGAGGTCTGTTCTGACACCCAAAAACGGAGCACAGCACAACAGAATGTGATGTCGATTTAATTAAGCAGGATATGGCTGCAGCTATCGAATATTTTGCGAATATTCTACTGATTGTGCCACAGATTAATTGGATAAAAATTGGTTTCGCACTATTAAACGCAATGAGGTGCATGTGAGGAGCAGACATGCTCACAAGAATTTCTCCATTGCGAGACTAATAACGGTTTTCTTATCTTATCTTATTCTACTTCAGTATCTGACTGAGCGCAGATGGCTTTAAAAGGGAGCAGGAGCCTGGCTAGGTGAGTGACATGGGCGTCATTGAAAGGGGGTGTTGAGTTGGCTGGCTGTTAACTATCTGCATGTCGAATGACTGCGTGAGTGGTATCTATTGGTGACTTTTGCATTCGGTACTACTTTGCAGTAGTAGTCCACATTACATTAGCTAACACTGATGGGTTAACATGACTTATTATTATTGCTGTGTTACACTTTACTTATCCTGTTAAGCTTGCTTCATATTAGGTGGGGTCATTTTATGAGCAATGCTCAGTTAAGCTTTGACTTTTCTATCTCGAGCCAGAAAATGATCTTGTTTTAACAAAACCAACCAAACCACAGAGTAGCGCAGTCGATGTATCCTTGGTCCTTCCTTCTCATTCCTTACCTCTTTCTCATCTTTGCCCAGCTGTCTCCACATTTCTCCGGCTTTCTTAGAGATCTCTGTGACAGAGATTCCGGGGTTTTCCGACTTGATTCTCTCACGGCTGGAATTGAGCCACAGCATGTAGGCACTCATTGGCCGCTTGGGGCCACCTTTGTCTTTCTGCTTCTTCTGCGGCGGTTGGAAAAATGTATGTGACTGCTGCTGTTAAATGCTAGCGCAAACACATTTGTCAGCATTCCAACTTCCTGCTTCTTACTTCTTTGCGTGGCTTCCTTTCCTTTTTCTCCTTCACCACTTTGGGCTTTTCGACTTTTTGCTTCTTCTTTGGACTGTCATCCTCGCTCCCCTCGCCTTCGTCGCTGCTGTCGCTGGCCGACGCCTTGCTGTCGTACCTGACGGTGGAAGGCAAAATGTTATGTCTGCATGGTGAAAACAGCGAGATACGTGTTCGCACGGGGGTCCAGGTTTTCCTTACTCCTCTGCAATGTCGTCATCCTCCTCACCAGGGTTGAAAGACTCATCTAAAGCAGAAAAGGTCAACAAAAGTCTCAGTCCAACTTAATATTGTATCCCCACCGCCCCCCAAAAATACAAATATATATATTTTTTTAATGTGACAAGTGCTGATGAAGGTTTGCATACAAAACATATCGCGTAATAGTCAACAAGAATAACTGTCACACACCTAGCCTGTGAACAAACAGTGCATCTTTGCTTCTGGCTAGCAGACGTCGTGACTTTCCGTATGATATGTAAAAATTTAACTTTTAAACAATCTCTCATGGGCTCTTCAGATGGAACCAAAGCAGTTGAACCTGGAGATGTTTCATTTAAATGTAATTAAATAGGTCTCTATTTCCATAAAAGATCAAGTTCTAATAATATTTGAGTTACTACAAGTTAAATATGTTATCCTTTCAACTTCCGCCGAAAATATGTACATTTTAACTGGGCAAAATACTGCAACATTTTAACAAATACGAAATGTCACTTTTCCACTCAAAGGCAATTTTTACGTAAAATACAACTGAAACAAGAGAGAGTGAGATAATGAAACTGAAACGATGAGCAGTTTCCTTTGTGTTTTGCTCCTTAACTGTACTGAATGTGAACCAAGGTCCGTATGGAACGCCGATTTCTGCCATACAATTAGACCCCAAGCGATTACACATTTCTGTTTCACCGTTGAGCCCCGAGGGCCTCAATAAGTGTCTTGCAATGAAAACTAGTTTGACGGCCCTGTTCAAAACATCATGTGCTCGTCAACTCACCACTGCCGCTGTCAGAATCGTCGCTGTCGTTACCCTCCTCTCTGATCTTGCCCTCAGCCTTCATACGCTCCAAGTAGGCATCGTGCTTGTCTTCGTCAGAGTCGCTGTACTCATCGATCTTGCCCTTCATGCCCTGGAAACACAGTCCCTGGTTAGAGAACACCTACAAAAAAAGGTAGACTCCCTACATAGTCCACCACTCCCATGGAGATGCTCCCACGCCCAAATGTTAAAGGTCAAAAGAGGTATGTGCATGGGAAAAAAAAAAAAGAAAAAAGTTCAGTTCTATTACAATTACGCTCCTCAGCAAAAATGTCCTGAGTGCTTTTTCAGGCCAGCAACATTTGTGCATAAAAACTGTAATGTGTCAAACTGCAGGTGTTAAGTGTTGCCTCCGACCACAGTTGTGTTGTGTTGTGTTATTGCACGTCAAAAGCCCCCCAGGCCTCAAATCTGCACAATGCGAACACACAAACAGACATACACACATGTAGTTATCTGCCACACGCCTGCAGCCCTCCCGGTACCAATGTTAGCAAAGAATCACCTCATGAATTTTTCCCAATCCAAAAGCAATGTTTGCATCACACCCAACCAAAATGTAAATCAACAATATTGGGCTGGATTTCGGTCAGCACGCCATGCAAGCACAAATCACGCCAACCACGAGACGAACATACGAACCTTCTTCTATACAGGGACAAGCACACGCGCACAAGTACAAGGAGAAGGGAGGGCGACAAGTGTCATTAAGTGGAATGGATTATGATTGACAAAAGAGCGTCTTGGCACAGAGGGCGACCGCGTTACCTCTTTGAAACCTCTGTTCTTGATGTTGAGCTTCTTGGCGTTGACAAAGTCAAACAGTTTGTCGTACTCTTCCCTGAAGAAATGAATAAGCCAATGTGAAGATGGAGAATGAAAGACGCATGGCAACATCAGGAGTTTGAGGGTTCTTATTTCTTGTACTCAACAAGTGAGGGTGGCTTGAAGGTGATTTTTTTTTTTTTAAAGAATGGACCTAAAATGCATTGTGACATTTGCATTTAATTTGAACTTATCCAAATTTTCGAATGCACATGTCCAACTGTTGAGTGTTTCAATAATGTAAAGGTCTTGGTTTGTCCTGAAATTTCAAACAAGGGCCACGTAACTTCTGGTGAGAAGTGTCTATTTCGGTAAGGGTAGGTTATTCTTGACTACTGGAATCCCTCAAGAACTCATGAAGTTACCTCTCAATGTTGCTGAAGGTGTACTGGTTGCCCTGCTTGGTCTCAATCTCAAAATCAAAGGAACGAGTGGTGGTGGTGCCTCGGGCAAAGTTCACGCAGGAGATCTCCTCGAAGCGCAGGTGCACGGGGGGCTTGTGGACGTAGATGAAGCCCCTCTCCAGGGGATAGAGGAGGCCCGAGGTTGCCTTATAAGAGCAAGTGATGCACTGAGCACCAGAGTGGCTGAGAAGGAAGTGGCAAAGGTAACATTTATTTTATTCAGTATTAAAAAACAAAAAATGTGTCTATAGGAAGGGTGGGTTTTGGTGCGAACCCCTGAAAGTTCCCAGGCACGGTGATCTTTCTGTTGACCAGGGCCTTCATCACCCTGCTGACCAGCTCGTAGAGAGACCCCGACATGTTCTTACTCAGTTTGCCCTCAAAGCGGCGCTCCACATCATCCCTGATGACAAGCAGGAGAAATATCTGTCAACCATGAGAACTGTGCTCCCCCCCAGTGGAAAAAACTCTTTCAAACAGCTGTGTGTACTGAGAGCCAAAAAGGGTATCACAAGAAAAGATGTTATTGTAGGTAATACAACACAATTTAATATAATGAAATCCAACGCATGAGTATCAAAAATGTCCAATATCTTTTTATACGGCTTTATAATACAATAGAATGCTATACGTCATTACTTATTGAGCGCTTTCACAAGAGCTGCAGCTGTAACAAAGCGCTTTACAGAACAGTTAACATGAGCAATACGCGCTTCGCTGTGATTATGTTACTTGAGATACATCGCGGTTTTAACTATTTTTCACTAATAAAGTATTTGAGGCATTATTTACTGATAAACGTTTCGTTATGAATTGGTAAATTATGTATGGGTGGGTACATGGTAAATGGATATGTGAGTATTGGTGTTATTTTTAAAGTGGAAATGTGAAGGAAATGTCATTGTGCTGTTTTTTTTTAAACTGTGCAATGATTATAAAGGTGATTCTGATTCATTTTTGTATTACTTATATTTTAGTGTTTAGTTTTATGTTGTCACTGCCTGGTATTGACACTTTTGTCCACTTGGGGCATCCGTGAACGTGTGTTGCTTTGCGCTCCATACACGGCCGTATTGGTCACAGCCAATATCATATGTGCCACTTAAAATGGAAACAGAAATTGACTGGAATAAAACTTGGGCCTGCAGTGTCAATCATACTGCATTTATGATATTTTTCGTGTTATTATGCAGTTCGTGTGTATCATGAAGTGTCTGTCGAGTATAATTGCAGAACAAACTCACTCGCTCATGTTGAGGGAGAGGCTGATGTTCTCCTCTTTGGAGAAGAGCAGAATCAGGAAGTGGTAACGTGTCTGGCCCTGCTTGATGGGAGGATCCAGACTGATCTACACCAAAAGACAAGAAGCATATGTGAGGCTCACAAAGAAAAGCCATGTAAGAATAAATAAGGTTGGCAACATCTCACCCCTGAGTATTTTCTATATTTCAGGGGGAGCTTAATTAGGTTGAAAAGCACTCGATAGCAAAATGCAGACTTACGACAAAAAACATCTGTCTTTGGTCCTTGTGTGGCAGCAGGAATAGACGAAGGACGGTGGTGTAGGGAATCTTGTAGTCAAACGTCTTACCGTGGAGGTGAAGGAAGGTCGGGTAGATACGGATGTCGTATCTGGCACACACAGAAGGGCAACATTTGATTTTTAAAATTGAGAGACAAGAGTCATTTGTAGATGAAAGAACAACATGGGCCTTACTTTGCCCACCCTTGCTCTGAATGGCATTTGAGGCTTGTGGCTATTTTACCTTCCTCTGGGCGTAAGACACTGTAGTTCTTTGAAAATACACACAGCATCTCCCGTGGCCTGGATCACATCCGCCTTTGACAACACATTCTGGGCGAAGGCCTGAACAGGAGGCCGACAGGAGATTTCAGCACAGTTGCTAAATGGCTTCACAGAGAAAGCGGTGGAGGAAAAACCGTCCCACCTCCACAGGGTCTTGCCGCTCATCCGCCTGGCTTGGCGGGACGTAGAAGCGGACCTCCATGAGCGAGACCTCGGCGTCGTCGTTCTGATGGAACTCCAGGGTCACTTCATTCTTGCCTGTGGCGCACTGCGACACATTGGAGAGCGGGACCTCAAAGGCTGTAATGTCATTCACGTCGAATGATAACAGCGGCCCTGCAGTGGAAGAACAATTTATGCATCAATAAAGGAAAAAATAGATGCTTTTTTTATCCTGGGCTGCCCCTACGAAGTGCGCCAAAAGCAAAGTACAAATTTGTTGCCAACTTAACTACGTAACTGATTTCCTTGAGAAAAATACATTCAAGTGTGCATATATATGCAAATTGAACACGATTCGATTCAAACTGTGCCCCGTGTTATGTGCACTAAAACAACTGCAAATCCAGAATGACTGCCAATTGTCATGTCGTGTTTTTACCAGAAAACTTGGCTGTTCCCCAGTTCCATCCCTTCACACACATGTCCTTCTCCGTTAGCTCCACGCTGTAGTTTGCTTTGAAGAAGTCGGAGATCTTCTCAAAGTCCTGATGCAGGGAGACAAACAAACGAATAATCTGTAGTTAGAAATGTCCTGCAGTGATGCATGGGTCAAAGCTTAGCAAAACATTTGCTCACCCATTAGAAAAAAGTGGACATGGGCTGGAGGGACTAATTAAACTGACGCCGTTGAAACCATGCCTATCATTCAGGCCTTCCAGGTCCACAGGAGGGTGAGCATAATCAATCCATCTAACTACTTTGTCCTCCTACGCGGCTTAATAATGCACACATCCAGGCACTGTCCTCATCACATGTGGAAGTGATTGTGGCAGGCACGAAAGAAGAGAATGAGACTGTGGGAAAGAGTTTACACACCTGGATATGTGCTTGTCCGCTTGCTTATTACAACCCCTGTAATCAGTGTGTGTGTGTGTGTGTGTGTGTGTGTGTGTGTGTGTGTGTGTGTGCGTGTGTGCGCGCGCGCGCATGAGACTCATCAGTCCATTTGTGAATGCTGATCAAGGCAAATGTTTAAAAGGAGAGCATGTGAGTGTTTCACATCGGGCGCATTGATGACCGTTTTCTTTTGACTGTTCATCCCTGTGTCGTCACCGTTGTTGTTGTCCTAATAACACACACACCTCAGTCCAGACTGGAGTCCAGACTGATGTCTACTGATTAAGATTCCAATGTTTGGATGGATGGATGGATAGATACGGTCAGCATGAAACAATTGCTCCGCCTCTCCCTTCGTGTTGCTTTCAAACTAGCCGTGTGTGTGTGTGTGTGTGTGTGTGTGTGTGTGTGTGTGTGTGTGTGTGTGTGTGTAAGGTACGATATAACCAGGCCCCTCGCCTCCTCCTGACTGTACACGCAATGGGATGCTCCAAGCTCCTTTCTAATGATTTCATTTTGGTGTAAGAATGGGGAAACCAAGTTTTTGGAGCATTCAAATGAATGAAACCAGAACACGTTACATTTCTGAATGCAAACAAGGTACTGCATTCGTGGCATTCAAAAAGAGAGACTGTGTGTAAATGTTCAAAACAGTTATCATTTTTACTCGACTGTTTACAGGCGAGCTTGGTCCAGAAGGGGGCTGCTCTCAGGCACACGTTCAACATCGCGCTAAGGTTACGACACATCAGAGTGTACACAGCCAGAGGCCAAACTAGCAGTCATCGACCAATTACTGACACTGGCTGAGGGATACTAAACAATGACATCACACTCCGGTGCTCAGCGACGCGAGGATTTATCTCTGAAAAGTGGTCTGATTAACCCCAGGAGACGCTGCTCACGCCACCTCAGGTTATACCAGAGCCTTTTTTCCACTCATTCCCTGGCATCCTGACAATCTCTGTACACGCACGGCAGCGAGGGAGAGGGAAAAGAAAAACACACAGGGAGATAAAAACAAAAATTTTTTTCCCCCTCCACGGCAGTCTCTGCCAAATTGTTTCAGTGAACCGATATAAACACTGACTTACACGAGCCCATGATTACGCTGTTTATGCAGCACATGTGCGAGCGCCGCTTTCCTTCATTAATCCTATTAGGGCCTGACACACACACACAAGCAGACTTTTCAACAACTCATTCACATGGGGGCAGCACAGTGGCGCTTCGGTTAGCGCCGCCGCCTCAAAAACAGAATTCTAGGTTGGAATCTCAGCTAGGAGTTTGCATGTTCTTCTCTAGCTTGAGGTTTTTTTCGGTTTTGAGCTGTTGCTTGTTCGATTTTTTACTTTGTGTTCCAAGCCAAAATTTTACTTGTGACTTGTGTTGTCAATCTCGATACCAAAATGACTTTCATACACCGATACAGAAATGATACCACAGAAAATGCCTAGTTGAAACGTGTCAAAATGTTCTTGTGTGGGGCGAGCTCACTTTCAACGTACAAATAATGCATATTTTCCACAACTGACTGATAAACAGCTTAAAGCAAGAACCCTTAGTTTTTTGGGGGACGATTTGCTAACTGCTGTACCGCACACAAGTACCAGTATGGAAGTCAAAATACTTGCTATTCGGGCTGAACGATTGCAGGAAAAGATTAAATTGTGAATTTTCTGACAGATAATGCGATTTCAATTCGATTCACTTTTTTTTGTGTGTAAAATATAGCGCCAGGGCAATATTCATGTGGATGTAGTACTGTGACGTTTCCAAATATGACAGAATATTACATCATACCATCAAAACATATTCACATGTTCGAGAGATTACTCAGACAACATAAGGACACTAAAGCGACTGTATGAAGGAGGCAGTCCTATCAAGTTCTTTTTTTTTTTTTAAATGAGGCGAGGTTTTGCGGTAATTTAGTTTTGGTATATTATGCAACCCCAGTTACGGGCAAGCTTCAGATATGCCGCCGCTCGAGGGAACGGGGGAAAAAAAACCCAACAGTTGCCAATACACTTTCACCTGTTTATGAAATGGGACAAATAGTAAAACACACACAAAACACAAACACAAAACGAAAGCTTTCACACAGAGCATGGAGAAGATGCAAACACCGAACTAACTGCGAGGTAAACAGCCAACACGACTGAGTCCAGGCTCCTGACATTACTCACTTGGCCACCCCCCTTGACAGCTATAACTATATTATGGTGTGAGCCAAACTTTCAGCTTAATTACCATATTAAACTGGTTTATTTTTTTGAAACAATTAATAGTTTTTGTATTCACAATTTATAATACAGTATTTTCTTCAGTAAAAATGTAACAAAAAATGTTGGCGTTATATTGGGGCTGTAATGGATTAATGGGGCATTTCAATGGACTTGGTAACGAAATGAATTCCACTCTCAAGTCAAGGTACTCTACTGTATGTTGCCCATTCAGTGTAAAAGGTCTGCCTTTCTGTCTGTTTGTTTGTATGCGCCAGACCTGTGAATGAAAGGTTAACCAGGACCGCCTACCCCCCCCCAAACAGGATGATAAGTATTAAATTAATAGAAGGATATTGACCGAGATCTTGACGGAAAAAATCCCTGAACCAAACGGCAACATAAGTAATTTTTAAGAATCCCCCTCGCTTGTGTTACAGTCCACATTCATTAATACAGCACTAGACAAGCACGTTTGGAGCTGTTGTTCAAGTAAGGTCACATTTATTTCATGGAAACATTTCACTATGGGGTTCCCAAGAGAGGAAGCGATGCCAAGCATTAACACAGAAACAGCCGTCAGACCACTCTAAATGTCGCTGTAGGGCCTATGGAACTGATTCGCATATGTAATTGGACACTCACCGTATCCCTGAAGCCGTCGTATTTGTAGATGTGTCCCGTGCTGGTGCTCAACTTGATTCCGTGACCTAAACACACACGTCGCCATTGAGCCAGGCTAAGTTCACCTGCCGGGATGCTGTCCACCTTTCCGGTCTTGCTGCTCTTGTACACCACGTTCTGCTTGCTGAAGCGCAGCCGGCCATCATTCTGCAGAGAAAACAAAAGGCACAGGGGTCTTTCGAAAAATTACTAAAGCTAATGCTCAACTCTTTTGGAGATCTTATGCTAGGTTTACACCAGACACATATTGCACTATTTGCATGACGTGATCCCATACAGAGTCAATGCAGATGGCGTGTTGTGGCATAAAATGGCAGCAGGCGATGGGGAGGAGGAGTATGGGGATGGGACGCGCTTGCCTTCGAGCCTACGGGCAATCACACACGTATCTGTTTTGCCCCGTATTGCTCAAGTAGAGCTAAATAAAACCAACCTGACAAAATCGCATCACATCAGCATAGCCTATGCCAACCAGAGTCCGGCATCCTATTCAGAAAATGAAAGACAAGCTCAACCTCCGCTGGCACACTTGAGTTTTTCAGTTCATCCTGCACGAAGAATGCGAGGACCAGCAAAGTTTATCTTGGTTTATTTTGTAAGTATATTTGCATTACTTGATTATGGCTACTGGCACCAAAAAAACCCCACCAAAAACAGCTGGAGAAAAATGAGAAACCTTGAGAAAGGGCCACACACACAAAAAAAAAAAAAAAAAAATAGTGGCTTGCTGACGGGCCAATAACATGGAAGTATTTTTACCGTCCTATCTTCTAGTACCCCTTGGGTGTGTGTCGACGAAACCTTGAAAAAAACTGAACATTTGATTGGATTTATTTAATGTAGCCTTTAACCAATATTAAGATAACAAACAGATCCAATCTATCAAGATGAGAATAAACTACAATACCTAAAGAGGTTAAAGGTCTACATATTATTATTATTTGCTGCATGTCCAGTGGGCTTGGAGGCGGCCTAGACAGGCCAGATGCTGCAGCCTGACAATTGATCGAGATTATATATAATATATAATAGACGTGTTTCCATTTGCAAGTAAATGGAAGCAGAAAGCCAGTCAAGTGCCTCCCTCCAAGGAAGAGGCGTTCGGTAATGTTGAATTTTTCTTTTTTACAACTTTTCATCACATTTTAAAAAAAGTTAAACCATTCAATAAATGCACTTTATTTTTACGTTGCTGCTCTTTCTTCCGCCAAACTAAAACGCAGTTAACATATGCGCCTTTTGTTATGTTCGATATTTTGGTTTTGGCAAATGTTCAGGTCTGTTTCAGGTTTTTTTTTTTGTATTCATCCGCAATGTAAAGAAATAGTTTATTGTGCACCCTGGGTGGTCTCATGAACGGTCTCATCTGCGTCACTGCGATTTTCGTGGGAGGTGCCAAGTGTGCAGCATGCAAACCATTCAGTTGTATTGGAAATACTGCAGACGAGTATACATAAGCTGTAGAGTGCCAACATTAAATAAACATGTCATTGAGTATTTAATGAATTTAATTTCGTCAGACTTGCCTGTGGTTGCCGTGTCTGTGTGCGTGCATGTGTCTGTGTGTAGCCATACTTATTTATCGATCTAACTGTACAGCTGATGCCATCAATAATAATAATAATAATAAAAAAATCCCATAACTTTATACAATGTTACATAGTGAATCGAGTGTGTGTATATCTATCTGTGTGAAAGACAAAGAGCAACCCAAAAAAAATTGGCATATAGCCTGATCGATCCTAAGCAATGTGAACAACATAAAATTTGGGGTGATGTGGCCCACCATCACGAACTATGATGAATCTTCTAAATGCTGTGGCGTTCGACTGTTTAATATAAAGGAAGCCATAAAAATAAAACATTCTTTTTACGTGGCTACCACCCAACTCTGGGATCAAACATGGGTCTCCCCCAGTTGGGGAGCGCGGTGTTGACCGTTGAGCCCAACAGCCTATTAAAAGTTAAGGGAAGCGAACGCCGCACCGTGCAGCATGCTGCTGTCATTGGCACAAAGAAGGCAGCTAAATTCATGAGTCGCTGTGTGCTTCTCGATGGACCGGCAGTTAGCGGGAATTGTGGGACAACAACATTGTTGCTGTCATTCAATGTTGCTTTTGAAATGAAGTGTTTCGTTTCCCTTTCTTTAAACAAGTAATTCCGCGCCTCTTTTCTGGAACATATAGCACAAGTGACACGTGAATGCACAAATGAACACTCGTGATCAAATTCGCGCAAGGCACACAATGCCACAGCTCAATGTATGCTATTATACTCGACATTTGTTTTGCATATTGAAATGGGGTGGCCGATTAATCGGTCAGGCCCTAGTTTTGAACCACATTTCTCCCTTTAATTCAGTGGACATTGGTCATGCCTTGGCCACCTGGGGACAGTATAATATAGAATATACTACACGAAGACAGTCACCCCTCAGTAGGCCACGGTAAAATTAGTTGTTCTTTGCAGAGGGGAAATAAGATATATGACTCCAAGTATTATTAATGATCTGTGGAAAAGTGTTGCTCCACTATTTATGTTCCGTTGTTTCAAGGGGTATAACACTGCTATTTATTAGCTGGTCAATGGCATTTTGTATTAAGATAAACTGACCTCACTAAGGCACAGCTATATGGTTGTTTTACGTGTATGTGTGGTGTAATTCACATTATTTTCTGTTCAAATTTAAGTCGGAGGCGCACAAAACAGCATGAAGCCTATTTTTGAAGGAATTACAGATATGATTTTGGAAAAAATTCATTAAAAGTTCATGAGTAAGTACGGCTTGGACTCCCGTAACAACTTCTGCAAACAACCCAACCTAAATGTTGCTTCTCCTCGACAAGTAAATCTTGTCTATCAGTCGAGATGCATCACTTAAACATAGTTCACAGACACCAATGTACTACTATTATAATATACACTTCTTTGGAGCAGAAAGTGTCAAAAAGAACACAAAATGCTAATTTTCGTTTTTCAGGAAATAACTAGCGAGTAAAAAGATTGGTGAATCCGTGGATATGCAGGAGACTACGGCACTTGGAAACAAATACTTTGCAACCAATGTTTGGTTGCAAAGTATTGGTTGAAATGGATTAAAACTTTTAATCCATTCAAAGAAGATAACATCATAATATGTGTCTATTCGTCGATAAGGAGACTTTTGACTACGGTACTTACCCAGGAGCCTTTGACTTCCTGGTAAATCTCGTTGAACTCCAGTGTGTCTCCCATCTCGGCAACAGGCTGATGCTCTGCAGACACACAAACGGAATAAAAATACATACACATAACGACGTGGGATTTTAGACATGTTCACAGTAAATGTCGTTAGGGAAATACGAAAAGAGGGGGTAATACAGTAGTAAAGAGGGAGGTAGCTTATTGTCCACATACACTCGGGAGTAATGATTCCGTAAACTTGCACTTTTCCTCAAGTACCCTCGTTTCTTAAAAATTTTGGCCGCTCACCGCTCTTACTCTCTGACTAGTTTCACGTTAGCACTGTTTCCGAGCAACATGCAGCGTTTCATTTAATAAAGTATGCAAAGCTCATTAAACATATCGCTGCGACATTAATAGCTAAGCTAACTTGAATTCCACGAGGTGCGCTTGTTTTAGGCTGTTGTATTATGTTGCAATCTCAAAGTTTGCAGCCCGGATGTGGGTGAAAAGAAAACGACATCAAGCACCGCCTCATTTAGACACCAAACGCTTTACATCGAGTGCTCAAAGCAAGCAAGGCCGGTCTAAGGAAACAAAGTGGAGTTGATGAATTTAAAACGGACTCGGGACAGACACAACGCGTCTTGTTACTTACAGAAATTAAAGCTTTGCCTATTGTTCACCATTAACACGTAGAATGAAAATTTCAAAGTCCTACTGTCAATCTGATGAGCAGGTCCGCCTGTTTTCCCGCGTGTAGCGTCAGGCGCTAACCCACGTCACAGGAAGCTCTTACAGCAATGTGTTCAGTATTACTTCCGGTAGTACGATCAACTGTACTGTGAAATCTATCAATATTTTATTAAATTCCAATCGAAACACACATTTTATAGAAAATCTTAATATTCAACTAACGATTTGTTCACGTAAAATATATATTTTAGAGGTTTGTGTTTTGGCATCTTATGGTCTAGTGATGTAGTGAAGATTCTTTCCCACTAGATGTCGCTAAACTCATCGAATGGAATGTAACCAGATCATTGCCACGTTCTCTTTGAAGAAGTTCCACTTTTTTCTCAAATAAAAATGGAAGCACACATTTTAAAAAATAAGCAAATCACGAAGTTCGAATGGTGATGGAGGAATAAAGTCATTTGAGGCATGCAACGAAATATGCAAATTCAAGCCTCAATTATAACTTGGATGATCAACTAAAACACATTTTAATTAGGGATTGTCCTTCAAACATAATGCTGATATTTGTTATTTGCAAAAGGAATAGAGTAAGGAACTTCAAACACCACGGTTTTGTAGTGAAAACAGGCATGTGAATTAATTAAATAGAAACGGAAACACAGGAAAACCAGGGCAGATTTGACACATGCAACAACTTCCGTGCACCCGCTGTTTATAAAAAAAAAAAAAAAAAACATATTTTAATTTCTTATTGTGCCAAAAACATGCACAAGTTATTTCCTTTCTCATATTTGTATAACTCTGACACATTAAGTACGTTGCGTTTTTTTAGGAGGTCTGTGTGTGGGCTGGCTTGTTTCCAGCATGATTATAATCAGTGCACATAATTTGTCCATCTATGTAATGCAATACAAACCGGCCAGCGTTAGAGCACACTTTGGGAATATAGATCTTTGAGTTTGCTGCACGGGATAGGAGCATTTGAAGCCTCACCAGGAGCACATTTTGCAGTTCAATGAGAATGCAAGATGAATAAGACCTACAAAATCACTCTTGTGTGACAGCTGGTGAAAATCATTATAATTGTAAAGAAATGACTAGAAGCATTAAGAAAATGTAAACATTTCAGAGAAATGTATACCAATCATTTTATCCCTGCATTGCTGTGACGTTGCAGCCTTGAAAAAATAAATTAAAATTTCCCGCATTAGAGTCACTATTTAGAGCAGTGATTTCCAACCCGCATTTGATCATCCTGTGGGCTGCCGGGAAATAAAAAAAGTTCACTTAACCGGTCCTAAAATTATGATAGAAATAATTTGTCATCTACTGTAGGCTACTTAGTGACAGGAAGAAGAATTAAATGCTCTTCCACTACATGTAACAAGCATACTTAACCTGTGTATCCACTTTGTATGACATTTTGTTTTCTGGTTTTCCTTGAGAATGTAAAATCCATGCTTTGGATAAACAAAGGCTGTGAAAGTGCTCTTTTAGAATGTTTTAATGATGCGTGTGGTCATTATTTTTTTGTCTAAAATGTAGTTTTGGGCGTATTTTATAATGTCTTCCATGTTGTTTTTGAATGTTAATGACAGATTTAGAAATCTGAACATTAATGAAAATGAGTGCGCGATTAATGCGCCCATGCGTGCATGCGTAAAAGGTGAACATTTTGCAGCCGCCTCATTGGATTAATACTCCCAAATATTCTGAAACTGATTAAATAGGTGAAGGAAGTCAGTGGCGCGGAGACATCAAACGATCACAAGTCAGCGTGCGTGGAGGCTGCGATGACGCGTGCGTGCGAGGAGACGGAGATGAGTTGAGACAAGTCCCGTGGTTCCGGGGCGAGCAGTGATGCGTCAAACCGGTGAATCAGCCATAAGGATTAAAAAGAAGAAGAAAGTCGGGATTCAGAAATGGGAAAGAGGGGATGAAAGGAGGAGAAGGAGGAGGAGGAGCGGGGAGGAGGAAGAAACTACAAAAAGCCTCCGTCGCCTCGGAGAGTGTCACACCGATCACAGAAGTTCGAGCCGATGCTCCATCCTGACGAGCAGCTTCTCAGAACATCTAACATCACCTGCTTTGGACCTCCTCATCGGTCGCAACCTTTGCTTCAAAGGTGAAGGGGGGGGAACAAAAAGAGCGAGAGAGCACCTTGAAAGGTTCCACAGCTGATTGATGAACTCCTGAGCACTGAAGGGAAATAAAAGAATTTGGAGTGAGGAAAATGACATTTTGCATCGGTAAGTACGGACCTGGAACCATTTCAAAACTATTTCAAAAGTCTTTTTTTTCCCCGCCTTGTATTTGTGTGGAGGTATGCCTTCATATTTGAAACCTGTTTTCTCGATAATAGAATATTAGGAACTCATATTTTAGACAGAAATGTTCATTTTGCTGTGTTTTAACAAAATTGCCTACGTTATTGAGGAGCGATATTCAAAAAGAAGGAAAAACACAAGCACTAATCCTACACAAGAGTCCCGTTGCCTCGATTAACCTTTTGTGGATTACTATGACTTGCAGGACTACAAATCAACACAGACATAAAGAAGAAGCACAACTTTTAGCTAGCAGATTGGTATTTCCTTTGATATTCTAAAACCGACAAAGAAAATTACAATCATTGTGAAGAGCTGTGAAATTTTCAGTGTTGTATACAATAACATGGGGAACCCAGCCGTGGGGGGGCGGTTTCCTCCCCTGGGGGTGCACTGTTCCCCAGTGCCGGTCCCAAGCCCGGAGAAATGGGGAGGGTTGCGTCAGGAATGGCATCCGGCGTAAAACTTTTGCCAAGACGACCATGCGAGTTGGTAGGACGGTTTACAGGGGCGGATGGAAATTACTGACTCGCTGTGGCGACCCCTGAATAGGGACGTGCCGAAAGGAGAGGAAGAAGAAGAAGAAGTATACAATAACATGGGGAACCCTTTTGTGTGTAAAAGTATTTTTTTTTGTTTTCCTCACCATTATCCTAAATTGACTCTTGATCAGAAATTACTCCAAAATAGTCAAAGGACAGAAGAGAAAAAAAAGTGAAATTGAAGGAAAATATTCACAATTTGTTCAACAAGTTCAATTAGAATGAGTTATTCTTTGAAGAAATAAAATAAAAACATGCCAGTCAATGAGTGATAATATTCATTTTGCGCAGAGCGAGGAGAACAAAGGGTTGACTCGATATGAGTTTTTTGGCCTTGTGAATTACCTTTAAAATGAAGATAAAGGTTTTGGGGTCATGCACAGCAAGCTTTAAGCGCCTGTCTCGTTAGCTGTCATCGATATGTGAAAGTACAGGATCCATGTTAGTCACACACACGTGCACACGCATGCACGCACACACACACACACACACACACACACACACACACACACACACACACACACACACACACACACACAGATTCCCATTCGCTTTTAAACAAAAAGTCTGTCCTCGGGCGATTAAACAAACTTAACATGCAGGCATAAACACAAAATGTATTATTGTGATGGTTGAGTGGATGAGTGTGTGAGTGTGCACAGGCACGCACACACACACACACACACACACACACACACACACACACACACACACACACACACACACGAAACAAAGAACAATTGAAAGATTGTGCAGAGAGGTTGGGTTCACGATGATATTTGATTGGCCTGTGTAGATATCAAGCAGCAATGGAGGGGTTAATTCCAAGCAGACTCCCCACTGACACAAGTCCATGGCACCCAGAGGGGAAGAGAGAGAGCAGTGGGGAAGAAGGGGGGAACATATAAAATGAGTCGGTCACGCTTTGAACAGTTACACATGCTGTTTACATTTTTGCCAAATTAACATGGCCCCTCGGCGTAGAAAAAAAAAAAAAATCTTACCACAACCCCCCTTTCAAATCCTCTCCACCCACCTTCTGTCTGTCCTGCAACACTGTTGCAAGTCAACATACAGTAGGCTATACCACACGTTAAGTAGCTGTCACATGCTTTGGAGGTATCCTTTGAATTACTACACGAGAGAAGGAGAGTTTTTGTGAAGAGCGAACAAGGTGTCAGCTATCCTCTCACAATTTCATACAGATGGATGACACAATAAACCGACTGTAACTCAGTCGGTGGTAAAAATGTCAAAGGAAAACATTCATGCAGAGCTGTTGTGAAAGCGCTTTATAAATCAAGATGCATTGTATTGTTTTATCAATTAACGGATTCACCGTTTCCTTTAGAATGTAGCAAAAGGGCACAAACAGGAAAAAAAACATACAAACTTTTCCCAGTTGCTTGTCTTCTAAAACATTGTCGTAATTACATTCCTAAACAACATGAAGAAATTGATCTTGAAATTCTAAAGGTAAAAGTGGAACATTTTAAATCTGTAAATGACTTTCTGTAGTCTTCTTTAAATGTATAAATATTCACAGTAATTTTTGACATATTTGCACAGTCTAACAAAGCAGGGGTGGGGATGTTATAAAATAAATAAATACATACATAAATAAATAAAATCAAAAAACATGCAACCCACAAATGCTCCGAATAAAATGTGTTTTGAAGGCTGCATCATCCTCCACACCCTAAATTTAGGGCTAAATACTAAATACACACACACACACACACACACACACACACACACACACACACACACACACATTCACAATAATATTGATATTGTAATATGCAAGACCCATATTGCATACTGCATGTGTTTCCAATATGGCATCTTTGACTATCATTTCAGTATCTCTCGGCCAGGCCAAATGTCCTTTTTTATAAAAATCTAAATATGGTCATGGCATACTAAATACACACACACACACACACACACACACACACACACACACACACACACACACACACACACACACACACACACACACACAGAAGAAAATCCCCACCCATGCTTTTAAAGAAGGGCGGATGTGCATGGGGGTTGTCTGAAAAAGAGGAAGCAAGGAATGAAAGATGAGGATGAAGGCAACAAGTGGAGCCAATTAGTCAAAGGAAAACAGAGCAAAGGCAATTAGGCCGAAGCCTTAGCCAAGTTTCACTTTTCATTAAGATTTTGGAAGCAATCCGGAAGGGGGGAAGGCAGAAATTGACAGGTTGCGTGAACTAAAACGACTAACCATAGATTAGGGATGTCGCGGTCAAAAGTGGCAAACAACACGGATGCTCATGTTTGACAGCATCTACTAAGGCAATGATGTTCAGAACCGTGGTAGTAAATCCAGTGTGGGTGTTTGGAGCAGTGAAATGTATGTGACGACACACGGCTTTGGTTATATGGATTATTCAGCCCGTGTGTGCGCTCGCTGATCTGCGCCGCCCTGGATGCATATGTGTGCGTCTATGCCTGCTCGTTTGTGTGTGTTGAGTTAGTGAAGGAATGCGCATTTGATTGGCTACAGGCTGCTCATAAATCTGGCCTCTAACTGTACATGCACACACCGCACGCACAAAAACATACACACACTGACCGTGACCCCTCAACTGTCACCCTTCCTAACCCTTCCATTGGCCTCACATGTGATGTGAAATTAGCCTTAAAACGACACCACACTCAGGTGTCATGCATGGCGTGACCTCGAACAAGTTCCTCCTGGTGTTCTTGTAACCATGACAACCAACCTATGACATTGTGCTAAACTCTAACCAAGTTCTAACAACGAGTCCTCGTGGGATTTGTGGGAATGGACTTTGCGTTTTGACGTTGCAGATGAATAAGGTGCAAACGCAAAGTAAAAGGAGGGTGAGGTTGTGTTCTCACAAGTATTTTGTTCACGGTACACTTTCGGATGAAGTGCGACGGCCGATGTTCAACGCAGAACCAAGTCACTTGCGGCATAAACTTGAGACGCCGTTGTCCTGTCTGGCGAACTTGCGGGGGATCAAATCAAACCGCAATGGCACACATGTTAAAGCTTTGATTCAGGGTTTCACCTCCCCTCTGATATTTTATTTCAATTCTACTCAGATGTGCCACAGAATTCACCAATTTATGCAATTATACAATCTATACCTGCAACACATAGTGATCTAAAGAACATGTAAATGCTCTTTCCCAAGATGGCAACAGGTACAATTACCTGGGGTGCCCATCATTATTGAAGTCAATTATTTATATCATTTGTGTGTCTGGTTTTATCTGCTCCGGCCCGCCCCTCAAATCACATGCACCTTTATTAGTCCAAAAGTTGCTGTACATAACAGTTTCAAGGCATTCATTGATTTGTAATTATTATTTTTAAACAATAGGCTGTGTGCTGACTGAATAGTCATGACAGTATTGACTTTTTTTTTTTTTTAAAGGATATCTCCTTCAGATGCATCCTCTAATTTTCATGGGGGTGCTTTCAATTCGTACATAAAAGATTAATTGATTAAACAACAACAACAACTAATAATCATAATAATAATAATAATAATAATAATAATAATAATAATAATAATGAATCAAAGTTAATCCAAACACACTACAGGCCTAATGTGTTTGCCTTTTGTGATATTTTTGTTTGCTCGTGTGACATTGCAAAATGTGTCACTTGGCTGAATAAAGTTTTATAAACTCTGAACTATATATTACAGTTCCCCCAGAAGTTACATGTGAATGCCACAATTAAGAAATGAGTTGATGATGATGAACTTTGGTTCGTAAAACAGCAGATAATAACTATAATAAGTATATATAATAAAATAAAATAAATAACAGCAACAGGGGTAATTTAGCTTTTAGAGAGTTGAATATACGATAACTCATTTTCAGATCACATTTGGTCCCACTCAGAAAGAGAAAAAAGTTTGCGCATGCTCAAAGTCAAATTTTCAGTTCAGTGTCCTCACTTCAGTGTCAAAAACCACAATGAATCACATCAAGACATTTGACACAGTTTGTTCACACTGTTCAGATTAGTATGATTACATTTGCATGTCATTAATTTTGCCGCAAATCGAATGCGTCGTGATGTGTTGTTTTATTTTGCTACAGTGTTACTTTATGCATCGAAATCATATTGTGCTATTTAACTATTATGCAGCATTCTTGAATTGCTGTGATCCAACCAATGAAATGGAAAGAAAAACAAACATATCGTGCAATGTCACAATAACAGCATTGATTACTTTAATATTGTGAGTGAAAGTTATTTGCCTTCATCGTGACATCAGTGTTGACATAATTTCCGAGTAAGGAAAATAGTCCTAAATTTGCAGACACGACGAGGGACAAAAATCTCAGCCGTCCGCACGGAGCCTCACG